TTTTTTTTTTTTTTTTTTTTTTGCATAATTTCCCGAGCTTTCGACTTATTCAGCCCGTTAACGTTAGAATTTGGCACGTTAATATTGATGAATGAACACAAACAAGATTAATAAACGAGCCAAGCTTGAGTATCGAGAGTTTGAGTTCGGTTCTATTCTGCTTGTTTACAGCCCTACGATCAACCCACTTATACTTCACGTGTCTTGATCGTGTTTAAGCAAGTCGCCTCCATGTCAGCAAAAATCTAAACCGACCAAAATACCACTGTACTGCAAGTAAAATAACACGGTCGCCCTTTTTTCTACAGTCTCAATTGCCAGATGAAAGGATGAAAATCTATGAAGAACGTCTTATAATCCTGCAAAAAGCATTTTACCATGTATTTTTTTCAGTACAAATAAAGATACCATAAAAAATGATAAGAATAATAACAGAGGAAATTAAAAAAAAAAAAAATATATTGAAAGTCAGATATCTTACTGTCCCAACCGCGAGAGTTCGGTCTCTTGGAGCAGCAACTCCTGTAGTGGCCTTACAGTCGAATCCTTTGAGTAAATACTATGGAAGACAAATGAGGAAAATTAATTCAAAGATTGATATCTATTGGTTAAGTCGAAATTATTAAGAAAAAAAAAGTATTAAAACCATATAACAATCGATTCTCAGGGTAAGTTTTGTTTAGTTCAGTACGAATACCCGATACTCTAACGAATGCTCGGGGTCTTGTGTTGTTGTCTTTGAGACTAGAGAACAAAAACAGCCCTAGAGCTTCAACCTCACTTAAAAATACATAAGAAAAATCCAATTATCTTTTTTAAGTTGCATATAGTTCATTTGAGACTGCATTTGCTGTATTACAGTAGGTGAAATTTGTCTTGTGATTTCGAAAAATAACTATGTCCTATTCCTATTTCCTTTTTATTTTTTCCTTATTTTTAAATAAGTATATATATATATACACAAGACTGCAGTGAGTTCGTGTGCGTTTGTGTGTGAAATTTACATAATTAACCTCTGATAACAACATACACCATGTAAAGACTGCCATTTTCTGCAGACTTAAAAAAGAACTATGTAAAAAATAAAGAAATAGATCGAGCAAAAAAAAAAAAACCTGTTAACAAAATCCAAGGAAAGCAAACGATGGCGAATTTTGTGGTCCCCACCGATATAAGTCACGACTAGGCTACCGGCATCCGGGTGGGGCCAGCTTCTCGATGTGGGAAATCGGATAACAAATGTTCCTGGTTCTTGAGGACTCCCGGGCCCCTGAAGTGCAAATTCGGCTTCTTCCTTTGTGATGAATCCTTGAATCCAAACGGGTGATACTGAATTCCACAGTGGATTAACTGCCGGTTGTGACAACGTACAAGCAACAGGGTACAACCATGACCACACTCGTTCGAAACCTCCTTGGGAGACTAAGTCTCGGCAGCCGGCTATCCTCCTAAGGCACTCAAAGTCCTGTATATAAAATTTTTTAAGAAAACTTTTTGAGAAAGTTTCATGATAATATGAGATATTCTGAAAGCTTGGGCTGAACAAAACATTAATTGCAAAGAAAAATGGTATAGGAGGCGAAGTGAAAAAAAATCGCAGAGTGTTAGGGAAAAAATGAAAAAGACTAAAGAAAATGGAAAAATCCATAGCGAGACCTGATCCGTGAAGGAACGAGTAGAGTAGCTTATCCTCATGAAACTTTCATTCATCCTGAAAATCAAATCCTCCCACAGAACATGATTATTGTTCTCCGGTACTGAACTCCAAACACGAATCCCCTCATTGACCAATCTCTTTGCGATTCTTATTTGTTGCCTGTAAATTTACAAACTTTCTTCACGAACATGAAACTTTTACTTAATTGCTGTGTACATGTGTGTAATACAAGGTGAATAAAATGAAGAGCATGTGAGAGGGGAGAGGGAGAGAAAGAGAGAGAGAGGGAGAGAGAGAGAGAGAGGAATACCGATGGTGAGAGCAACCAGAAAATAAAGAGACCTGCTCGGCAAAATTTGCTAGTTGTTCCTCACTAGCCGAGAAAGCAATTTCCTTCAGCAGTTGACACCTCTCAGCGAGACCCCCCAAGCAGTACTTGAAAATTATCACGTCCGAAATCGGGCTCGCGAAGCTGAGTGTGACTTTCGGGTTAAGATTAGTTGCTTCGCTGTTATCCGAAGCAGAAGAGTTGTTTTCGGGTCCCGATTGGTTCACTGCTCTCATCCTCATCATATTCGCTCCATAAGCGTTATTCTAAATTTTTCCGCAAAAGATTACAAGGATCTTGTCAAAAACGATACTGAGCACCTAATAAATAACATGATAAGATGAAGTCTACGTAAAGGGCCTGAAAAAGCTACCTCAAAACTAGCCGAAGCATGCGAGCTATTATAGCAGCCATTGGACATTGCAAATGGTATATTCTCATTTCCTAGTTTGACCCGTTTGGAAGATGGGCTCGGTTTGGCTTCACGTACTATATTTGAAATCATTTCCATCGAGCCATTGACAAAAACATGGGGATCGCAGCCGTTCATTTTAGTGGATGATGACTTCTTACACATCTGTGGGGCTGCCGCTCGGACATTCTTACTCCGAGAAACACAACGAATGGGAGGGGAAAGCGTTTCGAGGAAAGGATATTTCCCGTATTTTGGTGTGTCGAATTTAATCTGGAAAAGCCTGTTTTCGCACTTTGATGACAGCTGAAATTGAAAAAAAATAATAATAATAAATTAAAATTAAAATCAGAACTCGACCGATCAGATATTGAATGTACGTTGAATAAAGCTGGGGTGATGTAAAACTTCAAGAAGCTTTTAACTTTAACATCCCCATAAAATAATATGTCTGCGAAAAAGGATAAGAAAGTGACAGTGGTGTATTATATTTATACCTGAGATATTTTGAGCTTAAAGGAAGCACGCCCGTTAGTTAGTTTACAAGGTCTATCATGAGAAGCATATTCGTGCCCATCATAGCTCGTGAGTAGGGGAGATTCTGCATCTAAACTGTTCTCAACGGGGGTCTCGGTATCAGCATAAAAAAGGGATGCAACAACCTTAATAGTCGAAACATTAAAAAAAAAAAAAAACACTTAAGCACAAGATTATAGTTTTAATAATGGAAAAAGGCAAGGAAAGCAGTGATGGAAGAACCTCTAATTCTTTGTGAATAACACAATCAAACGCGTCTACTAACGTGACGTCTAAAGAAAAGCTCCTCCGGCAAGACGCCTGCTTTAAAGAAAATAAAAGCAAATAAAATTAGAGGTGTTATAATAATTTGGGGTCACATACATTGGAAACAAAATCTTGAGGTGTTGTTCTTTTACCATGTCAAACTCAATGAAAACCATGGTATACTATATTTAGTATGTAAGATAATAAAAATGAAAGGCCGTAATAAAATCTTTTTAACCTTGCCTCCAACAATGCTCCACACACCATCACTGTCTTCTTCAATCTCAGATGCACTTGAATGGTCAAATGATAGTCTCACTGGAGGATCCTGCAACCAGGAAATAGAAAAATGGGCAAATTTTATATTTAGAACTTCTCAATTGGAAAAGAACAAAAAAATAAAAATTGAGCAAACCTTAACATAAAGGCTTTTGACTACAGCTGGTGAGAAGATGAGATCAAGTCCATGAACATAACCGTGGATTATATTCTCATTTTCATCAGGGTATGCCAAAGACACTCCTTTCAGGGCCTCTTCATGAGAGTCCTTCTTTGACCAAGTCAAAGGCTTCTCGTCCACATTTTCCCCATCAACATGAAGTCTCACGAGATCCCTCAAAACCTTGAAACCCCATTATTACACTATCAAGTTTAACTCTATAGCAGTAAGGAAAAGAAAAAGAAGGAGAAAAAAAAAAAGATAAATGGATCTTACTAAAGATGGTATAAGCAGCTTTCAACACTTAAATTTTGGTTTATTAAGCAATGAGAGTTTAGTTTTCTCAAAAGATATCATTACAAACAAAAATGTCAAATACTTCCCCATCATAATATGTCAGCGTTTTTTATTAAATTGCTCTCAAAATTTTCATAAACCCCCAAGGAGGAGGCTTTTCATGAGAGAATAACTTGCGCAAGTGGCTACTATATCTCCGCACTTTAATGACCACAATCTCAGAGTAATTTATATTGATTTGTTCATTTCATAGAGTGGATTTTACACAGGTATGAAACACCAAGAAGCTGAAATACTCGGAAAGAAACTGTTAGAATCAGGATGGCTTAACATCAGACAATCGAGACATATTAGGCCTTAGGGTCCAGTAAAATGCACTTAACAGCAGGTTTTTGTCAAAATAGCAACTAAAAAAGTGGATACAAGTGAATATACAACTCTGGAAAAAAGTATCAAGTCTTAAAGATCGATAAATGGTAAACAATACAGAACATCTGGTCATGAACGAAAAAGATGGGAGATCTATTACGAGTGAAATACCTCACATCCCACATGAACCCATTTCTTGACGGGAAACTCAAACTCGGTTGAGGCACACGGAACTTCGGCCCATGGTATACTGGCACCAGGGGCCTCTTCATGTAGAAATAGCAAAGGAAACAGCTTCATCCTTTTCTTATCATCCAACCATAGGAAAGGTACACTAGATGTCAACTCGGTGTGGTTCTGCAAAGTGCATCAGCATTAAAAAAAAATAGCCACTGAAGAAGCTAAGCATGCATTAGTTCATCAATATCCCAAAAAAGAAAACAAAATCAAGGGAAAATAAAAAGGCATAATTTCTACAAGATAAACATTTCCAAGCATAGAAAGGATCACTTGATAACAATGTCGTATCAGATTATCAGCAAGATGCTGCAAAGTTTAAACTTTGAAACTTATAGACCAATGAGAAGAAAGATTATATCTTTCACAATTTTTCGGCATCTAATGAATCGACATTTGATGATAACTAGCACAAGAGGTTGACACAGGTAACCGTAACCGTAACCCTAACAAATTCACTGGAACGGGACTCCAGATACAATACAATGCCGATCAAGCAATGACATAATCCTCAGCACCATTTCACTAAATTTAAGAGGACATAAAACAAATGGTTTCTTTTCCCTTCAAGGAGAAGAATAAAAGGATGCCCAATTGCTAAGTAACATACACATTGAATACAGCAAGGGCCTCAATGATTTTAAGCTTTTCTTCAACTAATGAGTCTCCAACCCTACTGCATCCATTAAGCATTATCAAAAGAGCAAAAGAAGAACAAACAAAGACACACTAACTACACCAGCACACGCAGAAGAAGGCATATAAATGAGAAAAAAAAAGCAAGTTAGGCCCAAACCTGAAGCAGGACTACAGAAGGGTAACAAGCACAGCTGTCAATGTAAATCCAAAAACACAAACTGAAAACTTCATTTTCTTCACCCTCAATACCACCGCAGACATCATTTCCTTTGAATTCCACTTTAACATTTCTCAGCAAAACGTAATCTTTTTCCTCCGCCCCACCAAAAGCTCCCATCTTTTTACCACACAAAATCAACCACAAAAGCCCAGAAACTAATAATAATTAAAAAAAAAAGAAAGAGAAAAACAAAAACCCTTGTTTCAAGAACCCCACTTTTTTCTGCAGATATTCAGAATTACGGTTCACAAAGGGTTTTGTCGAGGGATTTTCAAGAAGAATCTTCTGTTGTTTCTCCTTTGGTTCTCTCTCTGATCTCTCTCACCTTCTAATTTCTTTCTTTTTTTTTTTTTTT